CTGCTAGCTAGTAAATGAAATATGTATATTTACATACATGTAGATACGGATGGAGCTAAAGAAGTTTCACTTCAGTCGTGTGGTTATAAGCACACTTGTTTTTTTTTACCCAGCGTGGCAAACAAGCATATGCCCCGCCTGAAGGTAAGCGGCCACCATAGCCTTTAGACGCTTGCGATACCAAAAATATCACTCGCACTGTTGCCTACCCTGACCCAATCCCCTATCCCGTGGAGCCCTGGAAATTTACTTACGGCCAGAAACACAAATCCACCAAAGATAATGTTATGGTAATATTTAATATATTAAGTTTTGTGGTCACCCAGTCATATGACTGGTAATAATGAAAGTTGCTTTAGTTCCTCAATCGCCGACCCAACGCACTATTGCGTTTTCATACTCTTTTATGTCATCATCATCCTCAGCCTAATAATATCCTCACTGCTAGGGCACAGGCCTTCCCTATGAATAGAATAGGGAGATTGGGCCATGACCCACCACGCGTGCTAACGACTGCAGATGCAGCTGGGACCAACGGCTTAACGTGCCTTCCCAAGCACGGAGGAAGTCGAGATAGAAGAAGTCACTATTGTTAAGGTTCTCTTTCTTTGTTTGACATTTTAATAACTAGGTAGAAATATTTTCGTATTTCTCATGAATATATATCCGCTGTCAATTAAGTAGGGGGAAAAACCGAAAGACTTGCAAAGGCGTGAGAGTTGAACCATCTTTTAAAATTGTATTTAAAAGCGCAAACCAAACGACAATTCGTTCATTGGTCACATGCGTGACGCCAATCACAACAACAGTAGCCGCATGTGACTGACCAATGAAGGAATTGACGTTTTTCCCCTAACGCTAAATTTAACTTGAGGATTGTTAAATGAAACTATAAAATTATGCATCAAAAACAATACTTTTGTTTAAAAATAATAATAAAATTATATCTTCCTACCTACTTTTGAAATAATATAGTACAATTGTCTGGTTCAACAAAACATAAACAATACTTGGTAAATATAAACACATTATAATATTTTAGTATTCCTAATATAATTTACCTATTGTACTGTCGTCGCATAAAAATGTCAGTGAGAAATATAAAACTCGACAGCTGTTGACATTTATCAAGAAATGCGAAAAACACGATAATTGACGATTAGTATCGTATCAAAAAACTCTCGACTATTCTATTGTTCGAATAGAATAGTCGAGAGTATTTCGATATCGAAAATTTTATTGTTTAACGTAAAGGGGAATGTTCAACTGTTATTCAAAGACAAGTTTAATTTACCGATTTTTATGTAAATAAATATAATAAGAAAGGTAGGGCTTATGGGATTTGCCCCTCGAATTGGAACCCCATCTGGGGAAGTAACCTCCACTTTACAGAAGGCAAATACCCGCTACCTTTTGATGGTGTTGTGTTTCTGTCGGTGAGTAAGGGCTCCACGTGGTAGGAGATTGGGTCAGGGTAGGCAACGCAGCAGGAGGGGGAAGACTGGTCGGCGGCGCCGAGCCTGCCTGCTAGTCTTCTAGCGGAACCTTCTGTGACTGCTAGAGTGCTCCGCGGCACCATCACGAGGGGGTAGGAACCCAGGCGTAATAAGCGGCCACTCATAACCCGCAGTTACGCCTGGAGGGCGAGGGGTAGATCGGGGAGTTGGTTTACCTGGTAGGTACGGGAGCTGATCGGCTGGCTAGCCGCTCGGGCTGCGGTCCGTGAGACTAGTCAGGTGACGCTGTAAACGGAGAAGCTCAGGATCGGCTAAAGCGGGTGCGGACCGGACTGCTGGGCAGGTGGGGTGGTTTGACGTAAGCCACGCTTACGTGAGTGCACGTCAAAGTATACCCGCACTGACTAGCGGCCCTCGGGCTGCTCGTCGCTTGCCAAATGCACCACGCAATTACCTGCGTCTGCGTCGTGAGAGTTTGTTGACAGCAACATGGCGTTGGTCATTGTCGTGGATATAATGCTTTTTTCTCCGCGTCAACGAAAAAAAAGGATAGGCAACGCAAAGGCGCGAGTGATATTTTTATTATCGCGAGCGTCTATGGTCTTTGGTGGTCGTTTACCATCATATGTTTGCTAGCCACCCTTAAAAAAAAGGAAATTTCAAACTTTAACTCAGAAACTAATAGCGCCCAGCAGGTACGTCCAGCAGGCAGGTAAAATGCCGTGGCAGTTATATCAACTATTCCAAAAATAATAAGCATACATTTCAGGACGTATGCTTATTATTAGATAAATTATAGATATAGTATTGGAAGGTTTCGCAAATTTAAGTTAATAATATAATGCGGGTTATTCTCTAAATCTACAAATGACAATAATCTATGGCCTTATCATACTCTATAGAGAATGAAAAGGAGATACTAATTTCAAATAAGTTTAAGAAATCATTCCAGAATTAAGCCCATTATCCCACATAAACTGTGAACATTAATTATATTAGCAAGTTTATGAACTAAGCTTTATATTAGGCACATGACCACTTCACCGCGTATTGTCTCCCACAGTGGGAAAATTCCTATAAAACAATATGATTTTCTAAAGTTCCGTACTCAACTGCTGGTGAACGAAACCCTGTTATTATGCCTGTCATATGGTTCTATGTCCTAAAAGAAGAAAAGTGGTCACATGAAATTTTCACAGAAATGTATGTTACTGTCGCCGGTAAAATAAACAGAAAACGTGATTTATCCCAACTCATTATTTTTTTTATATAGACAGGTAGACAAATGACTCCATCCCACCTAATGTTAAGTGGTGAGAAAGCCCAAACGCGAAGATAGCCGGTACAGCAGTTATAAACTGCCACACTAACCATCCTCACCTTGCCAGCCTGCAAAAATGTTTTTTCATCCAAGATTGTAAGAAGGAGGGAACACATACGTGGGCAAAGAATTCCACTTACGAATAGTATGAAAAAGAAATGAGTCACCAAATTTCTTTGTTCGTGTAGGAATAGTGGCCACAGTAAGTCGGTGGCAAAGTAGGCCAGCGCGCGTGGTCCTCTGAACAAAAGGTGTTGAATAATTGAATGAATACTCTTTATTGCATTATTACAAAAAAAAAACAATAAATATAAAACAGGAACGCAAACACAAAAGGCGGCCTTATTGCTAAGGTAGCAATCTCTACCAGGCAACCTTTGGCTAAATGAAACGATACTATAAGAATAGTAGAAACAGCGGGCTGTGCATTGTAACAATAAATAAATAAACGTAAATATAGGAAAATAAAATATAGAAAGTATATGGAAGCTATAAAATACAATACAAAGTTATGAACATATAAAAAGATCAGTAACAGTCCAGCTTGAGGAAATAATCCTTAATTTTAATTGCAAAGGAGTAGTCCCTCGTACGTGCACGTTTAATATCTAAAGGTAAAGAGTTCCACAATTTAACAGCTCTTACATAGAATGACTTGGCTACGAAATCAGTGGAGTGGGTGGGATAACTAAGGATAGGTTATGAGAAGACCGAAGGTCACGAACAGGATTAAATGAGTGAAAAGTGAAACGCTCCTTAAGATACTGAGTGTGTGGATGAAAGAGGATAGAATAAAGGAGTGATAGGATGTGACAGTCTCTTCTACGAGAAATGGGTAGCCATTGTTGGAGGGATAAGGGAGAACAACTCGTCAGAACACTCGCCGTGGTATAGTCGGTAGAATGCGCTTAATGATGCCACATCGCGGCGTAATTGTAGAGAATCATGTTCGTTAGTTACCTCTTCATCGCCAACGATGTGGTCGATCTAGTATTATTGATTTAAATATTTACACTATTCATTGTACAGATCTAGCCCAACTCGCACTTGACAGTTCATTTAAATATTGATTTTTTTTTATTCTTTTATTGGCACTAGATTTACCACTAGTACCTATCTGTAATTGAATTACGCCACGACAAATCCGTGGGATAAAACGGAGATTCGTATTCCACTTAATGGATTCTAGGAAATATTGAATACCTGCGGAATATTACTATTACTACTATTTTTGTGGTTAATATTGTTTATGATTTTTCAGAACATATTACCTTTACGTAATTTTTGCCAGAGGAGCTCGATAGCGCAGGTGGTTAGCGCGTTCAGCTGCGATCGTTGAAGTTAATCAACTTTCGCAGTGGTCGGTCATTTGACGGGTTGACTAAAAATTTACAATATCGAGTTCCTCCGTGCTTCGGAAGGCACCTTTAGCCATCGGTTCTGGCTGCATCTGCAGTCGTTAGCACCTGCCAATCCGCAGTGGGCTCCGGGGTGGGTCACGGCCCAATCTCTCTATTCTATCCATAGGGAAGGCCTGTGCCTCAGCAGTGTAGACATTAATAGGCTGATGATGAAGATGAATTTTTTCCGACCAAATACGTGTGTTGTTGCCACTTGTAGGCATCCACAGGCCACTGTGACGGCTTGCTATCAGGCGGACTTTGTGCTTATTTTCCTTCTATATTAGGTAACAAATGAAACATTTCGTTGATCTTAAAGCGCTTGTTAATCAGACGATTTTGTGTCGAATTTAGGAACGGTTTTACACCGTGTCTACGTCCGGTCGCCAGTTAGGTATGAGACAGTATGGAGGTTTGGTAAAAACACCGGATCAAGCCACGGCTTTAGGTCGGTACAAACGTGCCAAGCGTGTTCGTGAACAATCTCGATCGGCACCGGCCTGGGTAAAACCGGGTAGAAATCGTCTCGGTAACAAGTGCTTTATATTTTTTTAATTTATTCATGACCATGGATACAAGTTGTAACTTTAAGAAGTTTTATTTCACAATATCCACTAAGAACGAATTTAAGAATAATTAAAATAAGATGCCAACCGCACTCGATGATATCCTGCCAAAAACTCCGCGCCATAAATCGGTTCAACAGTGTGACCATTGCAGTGCTTCTGAATACTTTTCTTTGGTTTTGCCAAAGTAGGTTAAAAGTGTGATTTAGCGAGAATCTAGCATTGTTATTCATTTTATTTTCTTTTTCGTTTTCAGGATGCCGACACCGTGGAGAAACTAAATGAAAGCGGCGAGCTGAGAAAAATGCTGAAACCGTATAAGGTAATGAAATTAGAGGCTTCCAAGTATTATGTATTGGATGCTCGATAATGGTGCAATTCATTAATAGCATGCCCAGACGAGGTTAACTGACTGAATCAAGAAAAAATTACCCACTGAGGACTTTTCGCGGAGTCAACGCACACGGTGTGCGGACATTTGTTGCGCGGAAGTTTAGAGAAACTCACGTTATGGAAGAAACTGTTCTGAGATTACGTTGTGTTGCTATTAAAATTGAGTTTAAGAAAAAGATCATCATCATCAGCCTATTAATGTTCCCACTGCTGGGGCACAGGCCTTCCTTATGGATGGAATAGGAAAATTGGGCCATGACCCACCACGCGGGCATGGTAATAATATCATACAGTATTCTATCTTCATACAAACGGTCGGAAAGCGAGTCATACCTACGCCACTCGAGTTCGATGTGCTCTCGGCGGGCACCCAGTCGCGAATGCGCCGCCGCGCCGCAACGTCGACCGAACGGTCTGAATTGTTTTTTATGCAGTAAGCCGTGCTTAAACGTGCGTTTTGTATTGTAAATATTTGATTTAATTAAGTAGATACCTACATAATTTAGTATGGAAATGAACAAACGACGATCAATATCGTACAACAGCACAATTGCTGTTTTTGGTTGCTTGAACTCTTCAATCACACACCCAGAGATATCTTTTTTTAAATTACCTGAAATATTGGAAAGGTGTCTTACCTTTATAGAATATATTTTATATACCTATCTACTAGTACGTAATTTGTTCTTATATTTAGGTATTTCGGTTTTTCCATCGGGCAAAATATCTGGAATAATATTTAAATAAGTGGTTAGGATGAAAAATTAGAGACAAACGAGTAATCTACCTACACTCGCGTTAAAAACAAAACTACATATAAAATAATGTAGGCGGGCGGCCCTACCGCGTGCTAACGCAGCGCTCGGCCGTAGGCATATATTTTCAAGGACAGGGCGGAGTCACAATACTGTATAGATAATATTACCGTGACGCGGGCCCAGTGCGGATTGGCGGATGCTAACGACTACAGATGCAGCTGGGACCAACGGCTTCACGTGCCTTCCGAAGCACTTTTGATCACCCATCCAATGACCGACCACTACGAAAGTTGTTTAACTTCAACGATCGCAACCGAACGCGCATACCAGCCTCGCCATCGATCTTTTCAAGAAAGAAAAAGATAAGACTTATTAAAAGAGAATACCGGGTCCATCTTAATTATAAAATACTAAAGTTCGCTGTGTACGTTGCTGCTGTGCCTAGTCATATGAGTTATATTTCAAATCAGAAATCAATATATCTTTATTCCAATTCCATGTATAGTACAACTCTTTTGAATAATCCAAACATTTTTTCCCCCTACCACTCGTACATATTTTTAGCTGTGAAAAAAAGAGCGAAATAAACTCCACCCAATCATTATGTTGTTACAACGTCAATACAATCATGATTTATTTAATATAGAAAACCTGTCGGAATGATTGGAACAGTTCAAACCCAATCACTTTTGTCTGTAATATAATCAGACACTTTGTAATAAGCTTATTTTATTTTTGGGAACACCCGCGTACTTGTTTCCAGTCCGGTCTCAAAGTGTACTCGGTTGTACGGGTGAATTTCTGTTCGCAGAACTTTTAATCGTGCATGTTACTTGATGAATCTGTAAGCGATCTTAAATGCCAGACAAAAAAGTCCGCGGTAAAAGTCCCAAGTCTGCATAGACCATAAAGCAATGTAAAATCGTACATTTATATTTGTAAGTTTCGTAGCGAAAGTTAACATCTTTGCAAAATTCATTTCATCATTTCCAAACACAATGCATGACAAAGGACAATGTTAAAATTGGCCTAAGAACCAACACCAATTTGGCATTTATGATAATTCTTAGTATATTTTTTGCGATAATTATCAGTATTTAGATTGTGACGGACACTTCCAGTTAAGTAAGCTAAATTAAAAAGTTAAAAAATAATCTGAGACAATAAATACCATTTATGTGTATAATCTACGGCAGCGCTGCAAACAAAACACTCTTTCTTCCTAATACCGGCACTTCACTTGGCTATTCGTATTTGCTATTTTAAAACATGACATCAGTCTGTCCTTTTCATTCCTTATTAAGCATGACAAGGACAAACAGTTGTCAAGTGAAGAGCCGGCATAAAACTCGTTACTCTGTGGTTGTGGTGCATGCAGTTTGCATTCGTAGTAATCTGTGGCATTCGTACATTCCAAAGAGTAGTTTATTATACCGGAAAGTGCATTCTCGTTTCGGATTACCTGTTGTGTTTATTTGCGATGTTTTTCCTTAAATTTAACTATTTTGGCTATCTAATATGCCATCGATGTTACCAAAGAGAAGAGCCCCTATAACCAAGTGCTAGTGAACCTGTGCCACAACATCCTGAGAGGATCATACTGCTTAATTATTCAAGAACACAACACCCGATACACATTCACGCTGCATATTTACACAATATACATGTGATATACAAATAAATACAATATTCAAATATGATACAACTATGTGAAAAATAGTCAACAAAAAAGAAGCAAAACTACAGTTTTTATTTTATTCATGATTCCTACCTAACCAAGTTTTTCCTAATAGTTCTTCTTTAAAATCGCACCGAATAAAATGAATTAGTTGTAATATTAATTCACTTCATACTGAGTTTATACTAAATTCATAGGTTGACCTATGTTTCATTGAATATTAAACATAACCTCAAAAAAATTTAAGTTTTCCTAATAATTTAAGTTCTCAGAAGTGTCCGTCAATAATCTTTGTTTTTACAGTCATTTACTTACGATTTTGAACCTAGAAAATAATATTTCATGATTGTTGGTTCTTAGGCTAACTATGTATGGACGCTGAACAATGTCCTTTCACTTTTAATAAGGCAATATATAAGATCTCCTTACTATCCAAGATCTCTATATTGAGAACGTCTGAAAAAAAATTGGTGACTCGAATATATTTGTGTAAATGTAGAGAGATATTTAAAGCAAGCCACACACACTAGGGTATACCTGACAGGTTTACCTGTACAGTTCAACTGCACAGGTAAACTTGAGTTTAGTAGAGACCATACACGTAGCGGTAAACCTGCACAAACTTTCATTTGAAACCATGACCCCGGCAGCGGCGCTTGATTTCGACACAATTGCGTTTTTAGGTTATATTGCTTGTTTTATTTAAAAAAATAAAATATAAACGAAGACACCGTTCACGGTGTCTAAAAGCATGATTACTGCAAAGAAAACAGTACTATCATGTTAATTTACTGAATCAATTGAAATTTAATCCAACAGATTACCGCAATTATCTACGAATGGATGAAAATACGTATCTTTAACTGTTAACAGCAGTGACTCCCTTAACTGAGAAGTAGGATACAATAATGACAAAAGCTATATCTAAGATTGACAGTGACGTAAGATACCTTGCAACAGGGCGAACATTTTATGCGCCAAAAACAATACTACGATTTATAGATTTCTTTAAACTCCTCCAGGACCTAGTTCCATTTACGAGACAACATTTTATACTTATATAGTAGAGCGCCGCGCGTCCATCCCCTCTAACAATCACCGGACAACTGACGCCTGCGCCCACACACGCTCAGTTTTACCTGCACAGTTAAACTGCACAGGCAGAAAATATCAAAATTCATATTTTTTCAAGTTGCCTGTACAGGTGTGGAAACCTGCGCAGTTATGTGACATACACGCTCCGGTTTACCTGTACAGTTAAACTGTACAGGTAAACCTGTCGGGTAAACCCTAGCGTGTATGGCTTGCTTCAAAACAGGTAAAAGCGGGTTTCCACACAAATTGGTATTGGTATTGGTGCTCGTCTGGAGAAGTAACCTCCGCTTTACAGAAGATGACAGTAATATAGATCCCTCAATAATAATAAATAGATCACACACACTAATATCGATCACAGTACTAGGTACCTCTTGTTAGTTTTTTTTAATCCTGACTTTAGTTCTAGAATAAAATGTATCATAATGTCGCAATCGAGATACTAAATTATACTTTCTCAAAGTGTATCTAAATCCTTTCAGCCGTTTATGCATGTATGAATAAGTGACGAAAAAAATATAAACTGTCACGTTTAATATTAAATAAGACACTGTAATTCAAAATTTCGTTTACTTTTTATTGTTTTTAGGGGCAATAAGCTTTCACGGGTCATAACACAAACAAACAACAGCTTATTTACAGACAGACGAATGGACAGCAGAGGCTTAGTAATAGATTACCATTGTTTCTCTAAAAGCTCTAAAACTCACTTAAATACTGTCTGTAAAGTATGTTACAATAACTAAGTATTTGAGGCTTAACTATCAATCAATCATCTTTTTACTTAGACATACGACTTACATTTATGTCAGTTTTCTATTGAGAAAGGGGAAACGAAAAGCTTTCGAAGATTAACTGCTAAACTGGTAGTATTTCCATTCGATTACATCTATACAAATCCATGCCTGCTGCGCACTTTGGTTGCATGAAATTTTTCGTGTAAAAATTTCCTAATATTTATAAACGTAATAATCTGTATCTATACTAATATCCTCTAATATAAGAGAAGCTCGATGTCGCAAGTGGTTAGCGCGTTCGGCTGCGATCGTTGCAGTTAAGCATTTTTCGCTGTGGTCGGTAATTGGATGGGTGTTCAAAAATTTAATACCTCGAGCTCCTCTGTGCTTTGGAAAGCACGTTAAGCCGTTGGTCCCGGCTGCATTTGCAGTCGTTAGCACCCACCAACCCGCACTGGGACCGCATGTTGGGTCATGGCCCAATCTCCCTATTCTATCCATAGTGAAGGCCTGTGCCCCAGCAGTGGGGAGATTAATAGGCCGATTATGATGATGATACTAATAGTATACTGCCGAAGAGTTTGTTTGGTTGAACTCACTGATCACAGTCACTACTGGTCCGATTTGAAAAAAATATTTTTGTGTTGAATAGTGCATTTAT